GCAATGCGCTCGGTCGCATCTGAAACGCCCTTGATGTATGGCAGAGCCCTGCGAAGTCACCTCCAATCTTGCGCCGTCGGTCGATGATTGGCCTACATGCCTTATAACTCTCGCTTGTTCTGTTGTTGCTTCTACCTCTGATGATGGACTCCTGTACGAGTCTCAAAGCTCAGGACAATAAACAAATTGTTCCGGTGCTCCACTCTTCTTGTTCACAGGAGAGAATATTTTTGTACTTTCTTTCTGTAAAATATATAAAAGTTTTTGAGTGCGCCAAAAATCATTAGGAATATTGCCTACTACTTAGAAGGCTTTTTGCAGAGTGTTGTTTTTGCATGCGGCCGGAAAGAATCTCGTTTAATAGCTGTCATCCAGATGTGACCGAAGTATTTTGTAATCATGCCGCGCGACGGTTAGTCCCACGACCCTACTTAAGTAATCTTTTCTGATTTAAAACATACTTCAGAATTTCGTTTGACATTTTATGAGATTGCACACAGTTGCATGGACGAGTCCGCCTGCATTCCGTGACATTGAGGATTTCCTTTTTTACAGAGACGGACAGGTTTGATTAGGGTGTAGCAGCTCAAATTCGAAGTAAACATGGTGCCCCAAAAACGGCTCGAGGTGAATGCGCTGAACCGTCAGGGCGGTCATATGAGATTCTGGCAGATGTTATCGGCTTTACGTACCATAACAAATGTGAACTTATAGGGCGTGGTGGCAGACCCACTTGGCAGCTCACGTAGCGCCTCTCCATTTTCTTCAGTTCAGTTTATTTGAGGGAAATATAGGTGTTGATCCTTTGAGCTCCCTATTTGTTACAAGGAAGCGAACTATATCAAAAATTTGAAAATGGAAACATCAAACAGCTACAGAGTTTCTTCAGATTGGCAAAGTTTTCGAAGCCAGACAGATAAACGAATTGTTCCAAGAGTTAAAAACATTAACGTTACTGAGAGTGGGCTGTACAGTAGTCTGTCTATGGATAGTTGGTGCTATCTCAGTTTCTCAGGGGGGACGAAGTAGATGCCAACATACATTCAGCAGACATGGGACAATGATAAAAAACAAACATTACTGAAATACACGCAGTAATATAACAACATTAAGAAACTGTTCGAACGAGATGCTAGACGTTGTCGGTCAGGTTGCCTTATGACGTTTGGTGGTACACTGGTCCAAGTTGCGCTTAAAAGCCTCGACGGAGGTGGACATGACGACATCTGTAGGCAGAGCATTCCAGGCCTCGATCACTCTGTTTGGAAAGAGGAACTTCCGAATGTCCAGCTTGGCGCCAGTTACGCGTAGCTTAAGTGGATGACCGCGGAAGTTCATTGTGGTCGCTAAATCAAAGAAATCAGCAGGCACGAGACAGCAGTCCTGGCCGCGCAGTATACGGAATGTTTGTATAAGGTCGCCTCTTAGCTGTCTGTAACTCAGTGGAAAAAGGTCGAGATTGGACAATCGTGTTCCATAGGGTAGTTAACCCTGTCCACTTACGAGTTTGGTTGCCCGCCTTTAGACTTTCTCAAGGATGTTAAGATCTTTAGAGGTCCAGGATTTCCACGCCTAAATAGCGAACTCAAGCTGTGTCCGAAAGACTTTCACGAAGCAGTCCTCATCGAAGGAAGAGAAAGCTCTCTTGACAAGATAAAGGACTGACATCGCAGACTTAGCTACCTTGGAGCAGTGGAGCGACGGTTTCGGAGAAGCCGTTAGCCACGCACCCAAGTCTTCCTGGGCGTTCACCTCCTGCGGTGGTCCACCATTTAGGTAGTAAACCCTCCGGTTTAGAGATCGGGTCCTGCCGACCGGCAAAACATTGCACTTAGTCACAGTAAACGGCAAAACAGTTATTTAAAACCCTGCTCAGGGGTTATGTGGACCAGGGGGTGTGAAGCTGAACGCCAAGGTGTAGCGGCTCAAATTCTAGGTAAACATGGTGCCCTAAAAAGGGCTGCTGAACGTTCGGCCGTGCCATCCACCGTCTCCGGTCTTCGTGGCTCTGTTTTGACACCGAGCCCAATTTCGGGAGGAGGAGAGAGTGCGGTAGATGTGTGCAAGTCTGCCGTCACTATAAAAGAAATCATACACAAATCCCCGTGCCTGCCTCACCTTACTGTGGAGCATAGAGTTGACGGTCAAACTGTCGGGCGAACATGAGGCAGCTTAACCATCAAGACAGGTCCCAAAGACCAAAATGGGGGTTTTTGTGTGCAGAACGTGGTTCACATCCCCCGCAAAATTTACGAACACCAGATGACGTCTCCGTAATAAAACATGAAGATGGGAAGATCTTCAGCTTAGAGTTTGCAAACCCTAAATACAGATGAAACGGCAGGCCAGGTTCCAAATTATTCAGAATATCGAAGAGGTTCTCCGTACTCGAAGGGTACGCTAATTGTATGTGTGCAGAATCCGGTGCGGACGAACCCAGGGTACGAGATGACGGTGCAAACCATGCCTGAAAATGTGGTGTCAGCTGTTTTTACATACAGCCACATCTGCTGGGGCGTGTTTTGCATTACCACGAGGGACTGAGGCTTTCAGTGGTCTGTGCTACATTAATGCGGTGGTGATGTGTGGTCTTGTGTTCAGACAGCGGCATGGACGGCTGGGATTGTCCGGACGGACGCATGTCTGATGACAGGTCAGCGGCGCGTCAGATGAAAGGTGAAGTTGTCTAGCAGCAGCAGCCTTTGGGATGAAATTGAGCGACTTTGAAAGGTAGGATTCCTAAAGCAAATAGGGTCACAGTTGCAACGATGGCGTTCGATCACAGCTCCCAGGGAGAGTATTGCCACAGCAGACCACCCAACCTTAGTCATGATCGTTTTCCAAATGAGTTCAAGCGCTTGTGAGCCAAATGCCTAAGCCACTTTCTGTTATCATTCACAATTAGTTTTTGCAAACTTTTAAGATCCCTGTCAGAAAAAAGAGCCTATATTTCCCTGCCCCTACCTAGTTGCTAACCAGAATATAGTTTTCTTTTTCTATAGAAACTATAAAGGGCGGAGTATGTTTTGTGAAAATAGTCGGAAAGTGGTAGTGTTCATGTGATTTTAGTCTATGGGCGTCAAAAAGAGAATTTTAAATGTCTTGTCGCGACATATTCGACCTGAGACCTGACCGAACGCTGCCGAAAGACTTTACTGTCAGAAAAGAAACAAGAAAAAACGGTGGTAGTTGCATAACCTTTTTAATAAACCGATGGCGTGACAAACCATTATAGGACATGAAAACGGATGCGTGTATTAACTCGTTGTCAGATACAGGAGTGAGATGTGAAAATGGCAAGATAATAATGCGGCGAATTACTATGTCGGAGAAGGATTGTGGAGGGTGACCGGCCGTCCATATCTCAGACACAAGAAAGACCTTCTTCAATGTAAGCCGGAGTCTGAGTAGTCCTTGGGCTTACTATCTCACCATTTAGAAATGGGCTCTTGCTCTACCAATTGTTTCATATGCTACTGAAAAGGTGTTCAGTAACAAGAGACAAGGAGGCATTACCTGAAAAACTAACATCAGGATACGTGAATTTGAAGGCTCCACAAACGGACAAGGAGGACCGCCATAACAATTTGTGATTCATCTGTCGAAGTCATCGAACCAAGTAGTCCTGGGTCCAGGGGGTCTGGTATCTGACGCTGGGTTAGTTGGTTATCTGAGCCGATATTTCCGTTAGTTGTGCCACGAACCTATTCACTCTCAACCGCAATCACAGATATTTGACCATGCAGGGGGGATTTTCACTGGTTT